GAGAAGCAGAGCGCTGCGGCCACTCCCGTGTGCCGTAGCTGAGGGGGTCGGTGGCCGCTGCGGGGAGCCCGACCCGTGTGGTGAGTACGTAGTCTCCTCTGCCCCCCCTCGTTGCCGGGCTCGATTTCTGGGCGCCTCGGGGAGGGAGGAAGCCGCAGAGACTGCCGTCCCCGGTGTGGGGGAAGTGGAGGGGAGCGGGGAGGGCCCAGCGCTTGGGTCCGGCCTGGGGGGCGGGGAGAGACGGCATCGCCTCAGGCTATGGCGGAGAAGGGACAGGCGGCTTTTGTGTGTGGCCTGCGCCTGTTGTTTTTACAGGAGCTCTGCGTGCCTGGAAAGGGGAGAAAATTCATTCCCGTGTCGCACTCGGCACAGCTAAACGAACATCAGTGGGGGTGGGTGATGAGGGCAGAGCTCTCCTCTTCCCGCGGCCGGTGTGGGGGGACACCTCCCGCCCCCGGCTTGACGCTCTTTTGTCTTTGGCGCCTGAGGGAAGAGCGAGGTGGCCCCCGGCCTCCCTCTGCGTGGGGAGAAACCGTGGTTAAACCAAACAGAAACTCCGCTTACTTTCACTAGTTTTTCACGCCGGCGTTGTTTTAGCTGTTGGATTAACAGGGCGAGGATGGGTAAGGTTTCTTGCTGGGAGTGGGGGCGTTGGTATAGCTGCATTTTAATGTGATTTGGTGGTTGGGAATATCCTGGTGTCAGTTTTTGTCCTCAAAAGCCATTGTGAGGCCTGTGCCGTTTTAAAACGGGGAACCGATGCATTTTTTTTTCTTAGGAACTGGTAATGTTTAATTTACATGCGTGTATGCTTTTTTCCTCAGAATAACTCTTCTATTTTGTTGAATTTCAGTCAAGTGTTAATGAAAAACCTTCTGTCCTTTTGATGGTAGCTGCTGTTTTCTGTGTATTTTTTATACTATATCGAAAATGGCCGAAGTTGAAAAAAAATTTGCAAAAATGTTCAAAGTAGCCTGGGCTGTTTTGGAGCTGCTTTAATCATTGTAACTGTTTTAGCAATGCTGTCTTCTGATGCCTGCTTGGAAGAGAAATGCAGTTGTTAAATTCAGTATGTGTACTCTATTTGTGTCGTACAGCTGTAGAGTTGTTAGATACGACAGCAATATTATGAAGTAGAAATTAATGTGTTCCTAAACTTACCTTTTTTACCCCCTTCAGGCTTCTAAGTATGTGGAGGGCGTTAATTTTATCAACAAATGTCTGTATTTCTGTGTTTGAGTCAGTGAAGCTAGTAACAGACTTAGTTGTATAAATAATCCAGTGTTCCTAAGAGTAGGGCATACCTTATTGATGATTTCTAAGCTTCACCAGTAGCACCATGGCTTTTTTCATTAATACACAATGTCAATACGAAATTATGGTTTCCATTTACATAAATAGAAGTAGACGTTATCACTTAGGTACCTTTTCTTTTCCTTGCAATAGCTTGTAGCTTTACCTTCCTGTCCTAGAAAAGGTTCTGTCAAAGCAGACAGCTTGATGGGATGCTTTGAGGGGAATTTAGAAATTCAGGTACCATCAGCACACTCTTGTTTTGACAACCAGAGACTTGAGTGGTGTGCTTGTCAATCACTTTTGAGCAGCAGTAACCTTAATGGAAATGAGTGGGAATTTACTTGTATGTTTTCTGGTGGGTTTTTTAATCAGCTTTATATCCAAGCTACCTTAGTTTAAGGCAAAATATTTTAGAAATTTATTATGAGATTATTGTATGCTGATAATGATTTTAAAAAATGATATTCCAGTGAACAGATGAATGTGTTAATCCAGATATTATGTACGTTAATTTGTCAGGGTTTATAGGCATTTTAGGACATGTATATTTTAATATGAAAGTTGTCATGCTACAGCAGATGAACAGAAATTAACAGGATTGCTTTTGGAAACTTCTGCTATGTTACCAGTGATTCACCAGCAATCTTGGTGGAAAACATTATCAATCTTGTTGAATTAAACATTGCAGAAGCTGAGTTTCCGTAAGCATGTATATTAAAGTACTGTCTGAATTTCTTTATATGTGGTTCAGAGATCTTGGATGATGCTGGTGGTGGTCATCTTTGATAATGATGTCAAAGGCTGACACCCCATTTTGTTTAGGGTCTGTATCTCCTAATCAACCAGTGCTGTAAAAGGGTGTTTCATGGTACTTAGGGAATTGACCTTTCCCATTCCATAAGTAATAATATGAAGGATAATTACCTTTTTTTTTTTATATCTATTCCCCCCAAAAAAACATATGTTTTACATGCAGGATACCTGCAAAAAGTGTTTCATCCATATGAAAGAACTTGTGGAGTCTTAGCTTTCAAACAGTATGAAGTGTAAAGCTGAACTACCTTTCAGCTAGGTAGGTAGTTCTTTCCTTTCTAAGGAAAGAAGTCATCTGCATTTAAGCTCCCAAGCCTCTCAAAATAGCTATGTGGCAGGCCCTATAAGGTACCTTTTAAGCACATAACCCTTTATAAAATTTTCTAATTTTTTTGCAAAGCCTGTTCACCATTTAAAATTCTTTTCCCTGAATCATTTTGCAGATGAAACTCTGTGGTTTTGTGGTGGTTCTCCTGCGTCCAATAAGTCAAGTGCTGGTTTGCTGGAGCATCCCAAGTAATATTGGCTGTTAGGCCAACAAAAAAAATCTGACTCAAAGTACATGAGAGATAAGCCATAGGGGAATTTGTAGTTTGAAGTTAATGCATTGAACTGCACATGGTAATGAATATCAAACCATAATCATACAGGAATAAAGAGATAATATGCTTCTGTTGTGAAAGATTGTTATATAAACATCCTGCACCAGCTGAAATTTCAGTGTGACCTTCAGGATTCTGTGTAGGCTATATTACAGTAATGCAGTCTGAAGTTTATGGACGCATGATAACTGAGAAAGAAACCCACAAATACTTACTTACGTTGTGTTACTTTCCTTTCTGTACAGAGATATTCCACAGTGCATGCTGAAGTAGGTGCAGTTCCCATCATTTAGTTTGACCACTTGTTTTTCTCAAGAAGTCTCTTGACAGTTATCTTTTGCATCAGTTTCATTTTCTTGGTTACCAGTACAGTAAAAGTTGAAATGGTATTACATTTCAAAGGACTAACTGATCTCTAATGAGTTTTTTTTATTTGTGGAAATGCGTAATGGGCAAGAAGGTGAAAAAGTCCTATTAGCTTATTGTAAGTAGATAAAGACTCTGGTTAGAGAGCTTGAGGAAATAGCTTTCCTGTTACTGCATGGTAACAACACATTGTGTGCTACCATCTGGAGAAGGAAGGGACATTTGTGACAGAAATATCAAAGATTTCTAAATCATTTGTTGCACACTTAATGTGGTTAGAAGCAGTTCTGGTTGTGCACTGCTCTGCTGGAATTTGAGAGGAGTGTGTTTCATGCAAGTGTTTTGGGTGCTGCCCTGTCCCCTTTTGAGATTTCTTTCTAATACAGGGTGAAGGACAGCAGCTACATGTGGTCTAGGGCAACATTTGGCAGGTAGAGATGGCTTATTATATTCACGAGAAACATTGCAGAAATGTTATGTAGGCAGACTTTCAATAGCTTGCAGTAGGACTGGCAGAATAACAGGGAGCAGGTATTACTGTTACATTTGAGAAAGTAGCTCTTGGCTCTGGCTCAAGCTTGAAATTGGTGTGAGACACACACTTGCATTACACAGGTGAAAAATGTCTTATTGTCTAATTAGCAGCATCTCCTGAGCACCAGCCATTGATGTATCGAAAATCTAAAGACTTGAACATTTTATTCATACAGAAAAAGGACTTTGGACAACCTTTGCAGTCTTTTACGTGGAAGCTTCTGCTCGGCCTGTTGGGTTTTTTTTCCCAAAAAACAAAAGCAGGGTGGG